TTGTATTCGAATTTTGTTCTTGTAATTTCATTTCATTTGTATTAACATTTCATTAGCTTGTAATTTGGGCTGTTTAATCACACTTGTGGTGGGCCCTTCCTTTTAGTGTTGGATCTGATCATAAGTGGTGCCTATTAATATGTTAGAGGCTCCACTTTGCAAACGTTTTGTTTTGGTTTTTTTGTTTTTTTACACATTTTTTAAATTCGGTTTTGTCTCCTAAAATTCTCTCTCGAATTCTCTCTCTTCTCTGGGTGTGACTTTTCGTTTTCTTCTTTCTTCTTTCTTCTTCTCTCTTCTTGACTTGGCTGAGCATTGGATTCAATGGAAGGCTAGGCTTCTTGGATTGATACACAAGGAATAGGGAATTGCAAGGAAGATTCAGAGTGGCTTCAAGTTTGAATTCTCTTTTCTCCTCTTCTCTTTCGTTTTCAAGATATTGATAATGTTTGGGGATAGGAATTGAATTGAATTGCGATTGTAGTTTGATTCATGAAATTGAATTAGATTGATATATCTATTAGTCAAATTCGTAATCTAGTTTGTTAGCAAATTCGATTAAATTAGTTAATGGATTAGATGTTCAAACTAGGGAAACAATGAAGGATGTTCTTTGCATGAACCTATGACTTGTGGATCAATTAATTCTCATTTGATTTCTCTTTTATTCCAGAATTTTATGCGTTTGATCAGATTGTTCTTAAACTTTCAAAATCCCCCAATTTTTTGTTTCATTTTAACAATTTGGCAATGAAGAATTAGATACAAACGTGTCCTCGAGAATTCGACCTTGGTTGACATTATTCTACAAATAATTGCGAAAACCTTGTGCATTTGATAAGTGTTCGATAAAGCTATATCACTAAGCTAGTAATAAATTAATAATTATTAATTTACTAAGTGAGGTTTATGCTAGCAACACTCCTTAATGTATCTGATGAATCCATATTTTTACTAATATTTTAGTGTAATTCTAACCCATTTGGTAAGAAAAATACGTTAGAAAAAGTAGAAAAACTCAGAAAAATAGAATGGTTGAAGGTTTTCTTTTAATATGTAGTTATTTTAGCATTTGTGAGATTTCTGCTTAGAAATTAAGATTTTAATCTTGTTTTTGTAGGAATAATCTGAGTAAGGTTCATGGAAATGGAAAATGAATGGAAAGGAAGAAGAAGAGTAGCAATTATGGACTCAAAGCACAAGAATTATGGAATGCAAGCTGAGCGTGATCACTATTGTCAGTGAAAGTGATCACTCCAGGCATCAAAGAGGAATAAACACTAGGCGTTAACACTCTCGCTGGCAATAGTGAGTGTTCTAGAGAAGACTAAAATTCAGCAAACTTCTGCGTTACCACTTTTACCAGCAAAAGTAAGTGTTCCAGAGAAGACTTAATTTTAGCAAGAAGCGTGTAACCACTTTTGCTGGCGAAAGTGGATGTTCCAGAGAGGAGTGTATCAAGGCAAGTTGTGCATGGTCACTCTTGCTCTCGAAAGTGATCACGCGCAACTACTTGACCTCTTGCGTTGCAACTCTTATCATCGAAAGTGATAGTTCCAGTTCCCAGAAATTACATGAGCCTCTGCGTGGCTACTCTTATGAAGCAAAGTGACAATGCCAGAGTCGGGAATTCTATAAATACTAGAAAAAGCTCATATTTTGGGGCCTTTTGTTCATTTTCCGTTTTTTCTGTTAGATTCTCATTGAGATAGGGTGAGAGAGAGGATTGGGGTTGAACATCGAAGCTCCAAGAGGAGGAATTAGATTGGAACTCGTGAAGATGGCTTCTCTACGTTTCTTCTCTTCTTCTCCTTCTTTCTCTTTCTCTGTTACAATGTTTGCTTAATTCTTCGTAGTTAAGAGTTTATGGTCCTTGAATTGATGTATTGATTAGCTTCTTGCTTCTGAAATTTGAGTTCTTAGATTAATTGAGTTGTTAATTCTGTTGTCATTGAAATCTTTGAATGGGAATTTGTATGATTAATCAAAGAGGAACATTTGCCAATGGAAGTTGGATTTGCTTCTCTGATCTGAATTAGCAACCAGAATTAGGGATTTCTTAGGGATAAGGGAACCTAATCCTGCAATCCTACGATTCTAGTTCTTAATGCAACTTGAAATTGAACTTCACCTAAGGGATTAGGATGGTTTAGTTACTCGTTAGGGTCAATGATTTAAGGGATTAAACTTTGACTATTAATAAGAGAAACTGATTGTCAATTAATCAATTACTTGAATTTTAGAGGCATAATTGAATTGATATTGATATTCTGGTGAAATAAATTCCTAATTATCATTCATCCATTTCTAATCTCAACATCAAATTCGTACTTTGTTTTCTGCAAGTTCTTTACCTTTTAATTGTTCTTGTTTCTTGTTTTTTGAATGTTACAACTCTTGCAAATTCTTATAGCTCAACTAGTTATTGTTCTGTGAATTGACAATTGATTTCTTAATTCCCTATGGAGACGATACTTTGATCTTAAAATATTACTCATTACTTGCTGCAATTCCTAGTGCACTTGTTAGTGTTAGAGATTGGACAACAAGTTTTTGGCGCCGTTGCTGGAAAATTTTGAGTTTTAATATCATTAGTAGCAGAAAGATAGCTAGATAGAACACTTAGTTTCTTTTAATTTTCTGCAGTATTAGACTACATTTAGAATTTTTTTGTTTACAATTAATTGAATAATTAACTCTGTATCTGTGTAGTTCTGATTTTGGATAGAATTTATATTGTTAGCAGTAGTTAGTTTGCACCTACATACTATGATTCAGTTCAATTTTCTGTTTTCTTCATACTATTTCTATATTGTTAATTTTGTATGCAAGGTAGAAATAAAAATAAATCAACTCTGATCTTTGATCCTGATATAGACATAACCTTAAGGAGATTAAGAAGAGAGACTAGAGCAGAAACTTTCCTGGATTCTGATAGTGAATTAGAGGTTGTCCATTCTCCAAGGATTCAGAACACTCCTAGAGTAAAAAGAACAACTAGACCTTTGAGACAACCAACTCTAGAAATAGAAATGGCAGAGCAAAATTGTTGTTCGCAATCTACACTAGCAAGTGCACTAGGATTGCAGTAAGTAATGAGTAAATTTAAGATCCAAATATCGTCTCCACAGGGAATTTAGGTTTCAAATACCACTTCATAGAATTATAACCATTTAAGATTTTTTGAAATTGGAAGGAGAGTAGTAACATGTAATAACAGCAAACTAGAACAATTAAAAGTAAAATGAACTTGCAGAAAATAGAATAATGAACACATAGTTATGTGATAACAGAGGAAGAAACCATAGCTAGGGAATTGCTTCACCAAAACTTCAATGTTTAATCAATAAAGTTCTGAATTAACAAGCAATTGGAAAGAATGACAATCAGTTTCACATTGTATTATTCAGAGGTTAATTTCTTAACTCAGTGAACCTAACATTCAATTAAACCATTCTAATTCCTTAGATCTGATTCAATTCAATATTGCTTTAAGTGTAAGAAACCAAAAGATTGCAAGATCAAAGTTCCTTATCCCTAAGAAAACTATAATCTCGTTGATTGGTTCAGATCTGAAGAACAAATTCAATTTCCATTGACAAGAGTTCCTCTGAATTTAGTTAATCAAATTTCCATTCAATTTCCACGTGAAGTTCAGAATCAATCACTCAATCTATTCCAAAGCTTGAAATTCAGATCCAAATCAATTCAACATGTTCGTTTCAGATCTACAATCCCTAACTATGAACGAATTACACAGCCATGGTAGCAGAGAAAAGAAAAGAAAGAGAAGAAGAGAAGAAGAAACTCAGAAACGCCATGGAAGCTTGCTCCACTCCAATTCCTTTTCGTGAAGCTCCAAGATTCAAATCCCCACTCCTCTCTCTCACTTCCTCTAATAAGAAGCTAACTACAAAAACTGAAAATGAACATAATCCCCAATTTCTGGATCGTTTCTGGTATTTATAAAATTTCCCAGATTTTCACGTCATCACTTTTATGAGAAATAGTAGTTACGCAGAGAGTTTTTGGTTGCGCGTTAACACTTTTCCCAGAAATAGTGGCCACGCGCATTTTCCTGATATTGAGAGCTCTCTGGAATTATCACTCTTGATGATAAAAGTGACAACGCAGAGGCAAGGTAGTTGCGCGTTATCACTATTGCTGATAAAAGTGACTATGCACAACTCGCCAAGTTGAAGACTCTCTGGAACGATCACTTTTGACGACAATAGTGGTTACGCAGAGCTTTCTTGATATTTTGCCTCTCTAGAACTATCACTTTCCTTCTTCTTTGAGCTCTGAAGTGATCACTTTCACTGACAATAGTGATCATGCCCAGTCTGCAATTTCTTATTCTTGTGTTTTTGGAGTCCAGACTTGCTTCTTTCCTCTTCCTTGTCATCAAATCTCCATGGATATGATCCTTGCTCAATTTATTCCTTCAAAAACAAGATTAAAAACTTAATTCCTAAGCAAAATTTTCTTAATTGCTAAAATAACTACAATTTTAAAGAAAACTTCAATTCCTTCTCTTTTTCTAAGTTTTTCTACTTTCTTTATATATTTTTCTTATCAAATGTGTTAGAATTATGCTAAAATATCAGTCAAAATATGGATTCATCAAAAATAGAATTAGAACATTAGAGGATTATGCAATTCCTAACATGCAAGGTTTTAATTCTTCTATAATTAGGCTAATTATCCAAGCCAACCATTTTGAAATTAAACCTGCCTTATTACACTTAGTTCAATAGGATCAGTTTTCTGGTGAAAATTCTGATGACCCTAACCTACACATTTCCAATTTTCTGTAGTTATGCGATACAATCAGAATGAATAGGGTTAGTAAAGAAGCCATCAAACTGAGATTATTTCCCTTTTCCTTGAGAGACAGAGCCAAATGCTGGTTGCAAGCTTAACCACAAGGAAGCATAACAACTTGGATAGAACTTGTGAATAAGTTTCTAACCAAATACTTTCCTCCATCCAAGGCTGCCAAATTAAGGGGTGAAATCACATCATTTGTACAATAGGAAGGAGAGTCATTGTATGAAGCATGGGAGAGATATAAGGAATGACTGAGAAGATGTCCACATCATTGCATTCCAGATTGGATGCAATTGAAAACTTTCTACAATGGAATGAATACATCAACAAGAACAATGGTTGATGCTGCTGCTGGAGGTTCCTTAAACACAAAATCTTTAGAAGAAGCCTGGAGAATTATCGAGATGATGGCATTCTCAATGTACCAAAATTCAAACTCAAGAAATCAAGGAAGAAACACTGGATATAAAGCTAAGGTGTTGGAAGCCTTTCTTGCATAGAACCAGCTACAAAATTAGATGTTTTCAGAACAAATAGCTGCCCTAACTCAACAAATCAGCAATCTTCAAGCAGGAAGTATGCCTACAAGTCAACTAAGCTGTGATTTCTGTGGAGGAAATCATGCAAATGGTGCATGTGATGCATCTACAAGTAAAACACAGGAACAAGTGAATTATATGAACAATTTTCAGAGATAACTATCCTCATTTCCTCCTGAATTTCAATTTTCAAATAATAGAAATCAACAGTATTCTAATTAGAATAATCAATATTCTGCTGCCAAGAATTCTAATTTGCCTTTTTCTAATGCAGGTCCAGCAGCACAACAGTCATATTTTTAGAGAAATCCATCCACTCAATCTCAAGGAAATCAAAAGTTTGCCAAACCTATGAATGAAAGGTTGACTGAGATGGAAGAAACCATGCTACAATTCATGAAGGTGACCCAAACAAGCTTCAAGAACCAAGAAGCTTCTATGGAGAAACTGGAAACACAAATTAGATAGTTAGCTGAACAACTGTCCAGCAGGGATAAACGAAGATTTCTAAGCAATACAATGATCAATCCTAAGGAGCAATGTCGAGCCATCACTACAAGGAGTGGAGCTGTAGTTGCAAGTCTAAAAGCTACAGAAAAGAAAGCAAGTGATGCAGCTGAAGAAAGAAGAATTGAACAAGATCTGCAACAAGAAAATTTCAAATTATTAAACAAAGAGCATTCAGAAGAAAAAGTAGAAGCTCCTACAAATTCTGAGAGGAAGAGAAAGAAGCAACTCTTTGAAGATGCTTGCAAGCCAATAGATCTAGAAAAATACAAGAGGCTACTTTATCCTCAAAGGGTCCAAAATCCTAAATAGGAGAAAATTTGAAAGGTTTCTGAATATTTTTAAGAAATTACAGATTAACATTCCTTTTGCATAGGCCTTGGAGCAGATGCTATCATATGCAAAGTTTATGAAAGAACTACTTTCTAGAAAAAGGAAGCTAAAGCATGACAAGACAGTACCCTTGACAGAGGAATGCAGTGCCATTCTCAAGAGAAAGCTTCCCCAAAAACTAAAGGACACAGGATCATTCAGCATTCCATGTGAAATAGGACAGTGTACTGTGGGAAGAGCATTGTGTGATTTGGGAGCCAGCATTAACCTAATGCTATTGGCTATCATGAAGAAATTAGGGATAGAAGAAGTGAAACCTACCAATATCACACTATAGCTAGTTGATAGATCCTACACTTATCCTTATGAAGTAGTTGAAGATTTATTGGTTAAAGTTGATAAATGCATTTTTCCTGCAGATTTTGTCATCTTGGACATGGAGGTGGATGCTTATATACCTTTGATCCTAGGAAGACCATTCCTTGCAACAGGGAGAGCTCTAATAGATGTACAAAAAGGAGAGCTCATGCTTAGAGTTCAAGATGAAAAGGTAGTGTTTAATGTTTTTGAAGCTCTGAAATATCCAATTGAAGATAATACATGCATGAGAATAGATATTTTGGATTCCATTATTACACATTGTCCTATTGATAAATTTGATGAAAATTCTATATTGAGAGAAACAATAGCTGCAGGGAGTATCAAATCTGAAATTACTAGAGAAGAACATATCATAGAAATTGAGCAACAATTAGAAGCTCTACCAACTCTAACTCCTGCAAAAAACTCAGTTAAAGAGGACTTGAAAAAGGAAGTTAAAGAAGAGAAAAATCAGAAGCTAGAGCTTAAGCAGCTACTCTCCCACCTGAGATATGCTTTCTTGGATAAGAATCATGAGAATCAAGTCATCATCAACAATGAACTCAAGGAGAAAGAAGAGGAAAAGTTGCTGAGAATTATGAGAAAACACAAATCAGCAATAGGCTGGAGTATTTCAGAGTTGAAAGGTATAAATCCTTCATTTTGTAACATAGAATTCTATTTGAAGAGAAATTTAAGCCAGTTGTGCAGCCACAAAGAAGGTTGAACCCAGCCATGAAAGAGGTAGTCAAGAAAGAAGTGATGAAGTTGTTAGATGCAGGGATCATCTATACAATTTCTGACAGCCAATGGGTGAGTCTAGTCTAAGTTGTCCCAAAGAAAGGAAGGATGACTATTGTATCTAATAAGAAGAATGAGCTCATACCTACTAGGACTATCACTGGTTGGCGCATGTGTACTGATTATAGAAAGTTAAATGATGCAACTAGAAAAGACCATTTCCCACTACCATTTGCTGACCAAATGCTGGAAAGACTTCTTGGACATTCCTTCTATTGTTTTCTTGATGGGTATTTAGGATACAACCAAATAGCAGTGGATCCTATGGACCAAGAAAAGGCTGTTTTCACATGTCTATTTGGGGTCTTTGCATACAGAAGAATGACATTTGGACTATGCAATGCTCCTACCATCTTTCAAAGGTGTATGCTTTCAATTTTTTCTGATTTGGTAGAAAAAATTATAGAGGTGTTTATGGATGACTTTTCTGTTTTTGGTTGCTCATTTGATGATTGTTTAGCTAATCTATCCATTATTTTGCAGAGATGTCAAGATACTAACCTTGTATTGAATTGGGAAAAGTTCCATTTCATGGTCCAAGAGGGCATTGTCCTTGGCCATAAGATTTCAGAAAAAGGAATGGAGGTGGACCAAGCAAAAGTTGAAGTTATTAGTAAACTGCCTCCACCAATTAATGTCAAGGGAGTTAGGCGGTTTTTAGGACATACTGGTTTTTATAGGAGGTTTATCAAAGACTTTTCTAAAATTGCAAAACCTCTTAGTGATCTACTTGTGAAAGATGCTGATTTTATATTTGATGATGCTTATTTGCATGCATTTTCTGTTTTGAAAGAAAAACTGATTTCTGCACCTATTCTTGTAAAACTTAATTGGAATTTGCCTTTTGAATTAATGTGTGATGCAAGTGATAGTGCAGTAGGAGCTGTTTTAGGACAGAAAAAGGATAGAAAATTGCATGTCATATATTATTCCAACAAAGTTTTAAATCCTACACAAGTGAATTACACAACCACAGAAAAAGAACTCCTTGCTATTGTGTTTGCCTTTGACAAATTTAGATCATATTTGATGGGATCAAAAGTCATAGTGTATACTGACCATTCTGCACTTAAATATTTGTTGTCAAAGCAGGATGCCAAGTCAAGGTTGTTGAGATGGATTTTGCTGTTGCAAGAATTTGAGCTGGAAATTAGAGACAAAAAGGTACAGGAAAATAAAGTAGCTGATCACCTGTCTAGACTTCCACTAGAAAGTCTAACCCCTAACTCCTTGGAAATTAATGAAGAATTTCCAGATGAAAGACTTTTTGCAGTGGAAGGGATACCTTGGTTTGCTGACATTGCAAACTTTAAGGCTACTCAATTCATTCCAAAGAGGTTCACTTGGCAAAAAAAGAAGAAGTTCTTACATGACAGCAGATTCTATGTGTGGAAAGACCCATACTTGTTTAAAATTGGGGTGGATGGTCAAATTAGGAGGTGCATTCCACAAAGTGAGCAATCTGAAATATTATGGCATTGCCAGAACTCAGAATATGGAGGCCATCATGCAAGTTCAAGGACTGCTGTGAAAGTCTTACAAGCAGGTTTATTTTGCCTACACTCTTCAAGGATGCTAAGAAGTATGTTGAAAGTGGTGATAAATGTCAAAGAACAAGCAACATCTCTAGAAGACATGAGCTGCCATTGACAAACATTTTAGAAGTGGAGTTATTTGATGTATGGGAGATTGACTTCATGGGACCCTTTCCCCCATCATTTTCTTATGAATACATCTTAGTGGCAGTGGATTATGTTTCCAAATGGGTGGAAGCCATTCCCACAAGATCAAATGATGCTAAGGTAGTGATATCCTTTATAAGAAAGGACATTTTTGCAAGGTTTGGAGTACCTAGATTTCTGATAAGTGATGGAGATGCTCATTTTTGCAACAAATATCTTGAAGCAGTATTAATAAAGTATGGTGTGAAGCACAAGGTTGCTACTCCATACCATCCACAAACAAGTAGACAAGTAGAAGTGTCAAACAGAGAAATCAAGCAGATTTTAGAGAAAGTAGTGAGTAGTTTAAGAAAAGACTGGTCAAAAAAGCAAGATGACTCTCTATGGGCATATAGAACTGCCTTTAAAACCCCAATTGGTATGTCACCTTACCAATTAGTTTTTGGAAAGGCATGTCACTTACCTTTGGAGTTAGAGCACAAAGCTTATTGGACTACTAAATGGCTAAACTTTGATTTACCCAGTGCTGGAAAGAAGAGAATTCTGCAATTACATGAATTGGAGGAGTTTAGACAACAAGCCTATGAGAATGCAAAGTTGTACAAAGAAAGAACCAAGAGAATTCATGACAAATTCATCCTGCAAAGAGAATTCAAACCTGGACAACAAGTGTTATTGTTTAATTCTAGATTGAAATAATTTCCAGGGAAACTTAGATCAAGATGGTTTGGGCCTTCTCTCATAAAAGAAATATCTCCCTTTGGAGCAATTTTGATTGAGGATCAAAAGACAGGGAGACAATTAAGGTCAATGGCCAAAGATTAAAGGTCTATCATGGAGAGGAATTTGCAAGGAATATCTCATGTGTCAAACTGGTTCCTCTTGAGTGAGGAACATTTAACGTCAAGCTAGTGACGTTAAAAGAGCGCTTTGTGAGAGGCAACTCACATTTCTAACTCATTTTAAGCTTTCTGTATTGTTTTAGAATTGTGCATATTCATGTTTTACAATTTCTGCAATTTTTGCAATTAGAATTCTGCTGTATCTGGTTTTTTGAGGTGAATTTGATAAGTGATTAGAGGTTTGATGTTGTGAGAGTAAATTGAAAGGATTAAAGTGTGAGAAGTGAGCTAATTGAAGTTTTAGAGAAGTTTGATTAATGAAAAGAGTCACTATTTTATAGGAAAGGAGTCACGTAGAGGCTGTATTTTGATGTTCCCCTCTGTGAGAAGTGAGCTAATTGAAGTTTTAGAGAAGTTTGATTAATGGAAAGGGTCACTATTTTGTAGGAAAGGAGTCACGCAGAGGCTGTATTTTGATGTTCCCCTATGGAACAATCACTTTTGTTGATAAAAGTGATCACGCAGAGGCATGGAGGTCCACACAATCCTCTAGAATAATCACTTTTGTTGATAAAAGTGATCACGCAGAGGTTCATGCAGAAGAACACTCCTCTGGAACATCCACGCTTACTAATAAGAGTGATCACGCAGGTGTTTGAAAGAAACACTTCCCTTTGGAATGCTCACTCTCCCTAGACAGAGTGATCACGCACAGGTAAATTTGAAAAATTTTGTGTGCGTATTGTCACTTTGCCCAGCAATAGTGATAATGCACTTTTCACTCAAAAATAAAACTCTCTGGAACGCTTATTCTGATTAGAATTAGTAACCACGCTGAATGTCTTAATTGCTGTAACGTTCACTTTTCACTTTGAAAGTGGTCACATGCTCACGCGTGGCTATAAATGCTCCCTAAAAGGAACACGCACACACACTTCAACCTAAAAATTCCACTTCTTTATGCGCACTCTCCGACTCTCACTCTCTGCATAGTGATCCAGAAGCATATTCTTCTTTATCACACTTGCATCTACATTTCTGAATCCCCTTCAAGCAAACTGAAAATGGCAAGAACATCAAACAACACTCCAATTGGATCTTCAAGGGGAATCCCAAGGACCAAGAGGGGCAGACTAGTAGCAACTTCATCCTCAAGACCTGTTGCTGAGCATGATCCAAGGTTTAGGAGCATAGCTCATGGGAACTACTTCAGGGCTAACATTCTGAGAAGGAAGATAGTTTCAGATAGAGCATTTGAGATCGCTGCAGACAACTACCCTGAGTACAAAGAAGAAATCAAGAAAAGGGAGTGGAAGTTTTTCTACTCAATGGCTAGCATAGGCTGGAGGGAAATTACACAAGAGTTTTATGCCAATGCCATAAGGTTGAAAGGAGACCAAATACCCAAGTACCAAACAATGGTCAAGAGGATGAGAGTTGATTTTTCTGCTGCTAACATCAACAGGGTGCTAAACATCAACACTGAAAGGTAACTTGGACAACTAGACTTCAGTGTCTTCAAGAATAGTCTAGACAAGGACTATGTGGAAATCCTACAGAGTGTTGGAAGACCAGGGACAACTTGGCAGTTGAACCAGGCAAAGAAGCCCAAGTGCATCACCACCAAGAATCTTCTGCCATTTGCTAAAGTCTGGAGTACCTTTATTCTGAACTCCTTTATGCTGGTAAAGCACAACTCAACATTGGCAATGAAGAGGGCTGAGGTTCTTTTCGCCATAGTCACAGACATGTACATAGATGTGGGGGAAATCATCAGTGAATGCTGATAACAGGATTTTCATTTTGCATAAAGATTTGTTGTCAACCTTTATCAAAGTATGCAGAAAAATTTGTAGTATCTAGGATGCAAGCCTAGGTTATCTCCAATGACTTTGGTTTGCAACACACATTGAACATGTTGTAAACATTTACTATAAAAGCAATTAAACAAGGAGATTTTGTGTGATTCCAATTTTAATGTAAAGGCAAGTGATAAAATTAATGAGTCCAATCAATGAAATGTGCAATCCTTAGTTTGTTCATGTAATTCTATCCCTATCCCTCTCAAGATTCAATACTTTTCCTCTTCCTCTGAATTAGGGTAACTCAAAAAGTCCCATACGAATTAAGCAATTTACATGGGCTCTAACCTTGTTCCCTAAGATTATGCAACCCTAGAAATTAACTTAGGATTAAGCAAGCCAAGTTAAGAATTTCATTAAAACGAATTAGGGTTAATTAAGCAATGTCCTCCTCATTCAAACATTAATTCAATTCAAAGATTTAGGAAATATAAATTCATAAAGGAAAGGGAATTATATTGACCTTCATACCCAGGAATTCAAGAATCCATGAACTCACTAAGGATTACAAGAAAGTTTAGCCTTCCATAAGGATGGGTTTTACAAATTTAAGATGAAAGCAAAAGGAATTCAATGACATTAATGCAAGAATTAAGGAAAGTGAAGAGAAATTGTAAATCAAACCCTAAGATTGACTTTGGCTGTCACCCAAGGATCCTAAGCTCTGCAAAATGCTCCCAAAGTGGCAAAATAATCTAAAGTTATGAAAAGATCCGTATCCTAATTTCTAAAAATCTATATATACTAAGTCTGACGTGACCTCATAGTGATCACTCTTGTATATAATAGTAGTTACTTTGGGTGTGCGTAGTTACTTTCACTTCTGAGAGTAAACACGTGCAGAGTGTTCTGGTTCAGGCTTCACTGGAGTGATCACTTTCACTTCTAAAAGTGTTTACGCGCAAAGCTCTTCATCCTGGAGCTTTCTCGAGTGATCACTATCACTCACGAGAGTAATTACGCGCAGACCTGGTGGTCCTCTTTAGCTCTGGAGTGATCATTGCTGCTTTTGAAAGTGGTTACTCTGGCTTATCCCTTGGAATCAGCTCCCTGGAGTGATCACTATGGTACCTGAGAGAGATTACTCTCAGTTCATATTTTCCCTAAGAGCAAAAAATCCCTGAAATTTGTCTAGAATTTCCTGCACAATTATTCAAATGATCAAAATTGCAAAATATATTCACAAAAATTAGCAAAAATAAGACAAAAATTAGGAAAGCTATAATATTTGACCTAAATCAGGTTTTTATGTTATGTACAATCTCTAAGTCTATTTTTCCTATTAAAATTCTATAAAAAGCCAGACAAAATATCTATAAACTATGGATTCATCACAACCCCAAACTTAAACTTTTGTTTGTCCTCAAGCAAATCAAAACTCAAGAAAATTGAACGTAAAAGGTTGGATTTATCCAAAAAAAATTTCTCAAAGATTTCCATTCCAATCTTAGACTCCAATTGGCACTTTCAATATTTCCATTCAACAAAGCAATCACACTCATATCAATTATTTTCATGCAAAGTCCCACTAAATTGAAACAAAAATCCAGCAAGGTTTTATGCAATCCATACAATGCAAAGAAATCATCTAGCTCACAGCATAGTGTTTCACTCTTCACTCATTAATGTTTCAGGCTAAGTATTTCTCTCAATTCATGCATTTTGCCTCACCCTACCATATGCTTGCCCATATTCTCAATCTTCTTTGCCTAGATACAATGAACCACCTATTATAAGGGCTTTGTTAGTCACAAATGTGGTTAGATTAGGTTCAATTTTTTATCAAGGAAGGACAAAAGCTCAAGTGGGTTTATAAGAGGAGGAAATTCCTTTGAGTGAATGAGTACAACAACTAGAATAGAATGCATTAAATGATGCAGTTTATAAGGTTCAAGCATTCTTTCACCATGTTTTTCATTATATGCCTTATGTGGAACTTCTTTTTCTATCAAAATGCCTTGCTGTATTTCTATTTGTTTTTCTTTTTCTTCCATTCATTCATTTTTGCAATTATTGGACTTTGGCAATCATTCTTTTCTTCAAATTCAAGCATTTTTTTTGACATGTATAATGCTCACCACCCTAAACTTAAGATCTTGCTTGTCCTCAAGCAACTACAGTCACAATTAGCATCACAAACTTAGTTTCTTGCAATCACTCTTGATGCAACTCAAAAGAAATACCTCTCTTAAGGGAAGGAAATTATGTTTGCGGACTAAGTTTGGCAAAAGAAGGGAATGTAGAACAAGGAAAATTAGGAGCAAGGGTGTTCTAGGGTGGGTGGGTATGTGCAAAGAAGGCCTCAATCATCTAGATGAAAAATTGCACAATACATATTCAATTAAGAAATAGGGCAAGTTCTAGAGGATAGATGCAAAAATACATGTAATATGCATATAGAAAAGAAATTTAATGCTCAATTCTCTACCATGGTAAAAGGTGATAGTTACTTAGCAACATATGAGTACAATTCACCTTACAAGAAAATATGCTCAGTATGATAGGAATGGTGATTATTTACAAAACAGAGAATGATTGAGAGTTGAATGGGAAGTGTAATCAAAATATAAAATCCGAATTACAAAACTGAACTTCATTAAAAATAAAGAAATAATGACAGTTTTGTTTTTGTATTTTATCTATGAACTATGCAGGAAAAATAGACTAAGACAATGTGAAACAGAGGCAGAGAGATGACCTCCCTTTCATAGTCACACTCAGAGATCAAATTCATGCTCCTCTTGATGTTACTGAGGGCATTCTCTGTAGCCTAGGAAATAGTTGGTACCCTGCTGCATCTAAATTTCCTTGACTTTGTTCAGTACTTAGCCCCCATAATTACAATCTCACCTTGCAAAAATGGGGGCTATGCAGAAAAACACTGTCAATTTTTGAGGCAAAATGCAGAAAGAAATGCTTAAACATCAAGATAATGAAATATAAGAATAGAAAAGCTTAAATGCAAGACCATCATTTATTGTAGAAAAATAACTAAAATTCCTAAGAACATTGTTAGTTGCCTCTCACACAGCGCTTCTTTAACATGGGATGTGCATATCAATCTCCTGAACTTCCTCCAAGGAGACTAAATATTGTAAGAAGTGCTTCAAACGATGTCCAT